CGCACTGCATGCGTATATATAATACATCAGGACGCCGTTCTCTGTACATGAAAACCCAGAGCTTTTTTTGTCCAGGTGCGGGCTTACTGCAGGACGACATTTTTTCCAGATGTAAATTTATGTCGTTACATTGTCCGATGAATCGTTGATTTAGATCTGTACCACATAAGTATTTCCAAACTGTACTTTGCTTTCACGAGCTTCAAGTATTTAACGATGATTTTTATTGTCATTCCTTTTGTTGTCAATTTGTCAATAGATTTTGGTAGCACCAGGTCTCCGGAAAGTAACGTAGTGAAATTCTACGGTCGAAAAGTGTGTCCGACAATCGGACTGGAAAACAAAGCCTACCGAACCAATATCAAGCCGAAGCTTGAACAAATGGAAGTATAGCCATCATCCAATGATCTCGCTAATCCCGAAAAATAAGAACGTGTCAGTGAAACAGTCCAGCAGCAAGTTTGCTGGTGCAATACTGTTCATTAAAGAAACGGCTCTCTTTTGTTGCTTTTTTTTCATCCACATTAGTAGACAGTACTCGAGACAGTATAATATTAATTAATAATAAACAAAAATTGTGCGAGAAAGGAGAGCTACAAATGAAATTAAAGTCGAGTCACTGCGATGGGTGTGACACATGGGTATAGAGTACAGTATTACGCAGCGCTGGAAGAAATCCTGGAAGCCTACAGCTGTATAATAAACAATATATATATTTTTTTTGTCAATATCTCGATGACTCGTTGCATGTCAAGTCTACGTAAGCGTACCAATAAAATCTCTCACGTAATCGAATATATCGTTATTACACCCTTCCTTTGAAACTTATCATTTCTTCCCATCACTTTTTACGCGTGGAAAATGGTAACTCAAAATCATCAAAATTTATTATCGTTTGGCAACACAGTATTTAACGCATGTATTTTTAATATTGTGCAGGGCTTAAATGTCGTCCTACCAAGCCGTGTAAAGCCAAATTTTTTCTTTCAAGTATACGTGTATTGAAGCCCTACAGGTGTACAGAGAATGAGAAAGTATTAAGTCAAGAAGGTGAGGTATAAACGGGTATAAATAAAAAACAAGAAAAAGGGCCCTATCAGAGTCGACCACGATGGCCGAGGATGGCAATAATGTACATTCATCCTAAGAGTGATTCATTCGCTGTAAGCGCCCTTAGCAACGCGTGCGTGTGTAAGTATATACCTATACCTAAAACGTATGCAGGAGAGCAGGAGTTGATTAGTTCATGCTCTGTAATACACTCATCGAGAGGCGAAACTCTTTGCCATATTATCATGTACGCTTACAAAAGTAAAAGAAAGAGAGAAAACGCGAGACAAGGACAGAAAGGCCTTTTCCTTCCCGTCATGTTTCAAGGTCGGTTTCTCTCTTTCTCTCTCTTTCCTCTTTGTCCGTCGAAAGTCGAAAACGTGATTGTATATATACGTTTAGTCGTGTACACACTGTACACTTTATCTATGTTGCTTTTTTGTGACAAAGACACGGCCAGGAAACGGGTTCGTAAAGGGGGCGCCACATGTCGAGGATGACCGGCCGGCCAACCACACACGTGTTGATTTCAATGTCTGGCAGTCTGCATGGCTGTAGCCGTTTGAGGTTTTATGGACCCAATAGTTAAGTACATTATCTATAGAATCGACCAAAGGAATTGAACAGTAGAGCTATCCCAGCAAATACTTTCTCAAGATTTTTTGTAGATGTCTTGTAGACTTCTAATGTCCATCTGAAAGACATCTTGGTGAGGAGAGAGTTTGGAGGTAAAATTCTCTAAGATGTCTTTCAGATGGACATTAGAGTCTACAAAATATCTACAAGAAATCTTGAGAAAATGTGTTTATTGGGAATAGTAGTAGTAGTATAGTGTATTTTTATTGGTATAAAAGTTAATATACAGCCATGTGGTACACGGAAAGACCTTTTTCATTGAAAATCCCCTACTATATTCAGTTACGAGTTTTTAATAGCTTGGTACGGTTTTTTCCCGTACCACGTCTGTCTAAAACCTACGCTCAAGTATGTTTATGTAAAACGTAAACACCTACTGGATACGTCTATTTTTCATAGCTACAGTTGGTAAGGGAAAAAACCGTACCACCGTCACTAAATACTTGTACTGATATCTTAAAACCTATATACTTGGCACGAATTTTAAGACCACTTAAGGTGACACTAAAAATTCTTGTGTTAGTAAGCAACAAATATAACATTGGTGTAGTATTTCTTATGATCAAATATTGTAGTAGGGGATTTTCAATGATCTCGGTCTTTCCGTGTATATTATACAACATGTTTATTGGGAGCGTGGGTTTATAACCCATGGCTCCATCTGTGTTTTGTGTAGGTGCATTGCAGATTCTTATACTGTTGGTGGTTATAAAACATCGGGCTTCTCACTTATCGACTGTAGCTGGGTGATGATTCGGGATAAAATGTTATATATAGCTATAAAAATCTTCACAGCAAAAAATTTACTGTAGGAATTGTCGAAATTAAGAGGATACTTAGTCAACAATCAATAGCTATTATTTTACCTATAAATTATAGCTGTATTTACAGCTACAATAATAGCTATAATTGTCTACAAAGTAGCTATCATGTACAAATAATAACTGTAAAAAGTAGCTGTTTACAACTATGAATTTCACGAAAATTTTAGACAAAATTTATTTAATGTTTTTTTGTAAGGTATATCAGCTTAATTCGGCTGTATTAATCACATAATAACGCCAAAACTGGGAGGTTCAAGTATTTTTGAACAATAATAAGAAAAAAAAAATTTTTTCTGCATTAAATATTTTTTTTTAATGTTCAAAAATACTTGAACCTTCCAGTTTTGGTGTTATCATACTGATTATAGCGTCTAGAATGGCTGATTAATCTTACAAAAAAAGGTTATTAAATAAATTCTGTCGAAATTCATTGCTGTAAATAGCTAATTTTTATAGTTGTTATTTGTACGTGATTATAGCTACTTTGTAGTTAATTATAGCTATTATTGTAGCTGATTACAGCTCAAATACAAAAGTATACTGTATATTTTCGCAGATATGTTAACTCCATCAAAACTTCCCAGTTTGTAGAATGTGATTCCTATCAAAACGATATTTTTAAGGTACTGCTGTACCTACTAAGTATCTAAAATTTAATAAAACCAAATAGTTTAATTCAATTAGGTCGTTTTGTTATACATTTAAGAAAAAATTATGTTTCAACGAAATGAAATGGATAACTTCAAATAATATTTAGTTAAATAAAAAATATTTAAAATTATTATAAAATAAATTTAAACAAGAAATCGACAAGATCTAAAAGAAGAAACTCAATAGCCGATTTTACCATATAATTATTCAATTGTTATAAAATAAAGTCATTTAAGTTCATAAATTTAGTGATGTCATAAGTTTTTACAACTTTTAAGCGAAAACGTCCACCCATCTTTTTAGATTGTATTTGTTTCAGGACTCGTATAACTACTTTTATCAGAATTTGTGACAATTGATTGAGTGGGGAGTGTTGTAGCTTATATACTCGTAATTTAGTTACACTTTTACAAAATGGTCAAGAGCGTAGCTGAAAAAGTTTTCAAAGCACACACAGAATTGAAATATACGATTGTAAAAGGAACATGGAAATGCGCAACATTATGAATATAATTTTAAATCCTAATATTTATATGTACACAACATGCGGTGCGCCTATTATTGCACGTAATTGCGCAGCTTATTAATTTGCCTTGCAGCGGAAAATATATAGAGGATAGAGAGACGACTTTTTGTTTTTAATAAACAGCCTTTAAATACGTACCCTTACAATTGAGGTGTAAGATTATTTTCATAAATTGACTGAATTTTCTAACAATATGGATTTACCTTTCACTAAAGTAAAGAGGAAAAAAAACACTGACGAGAATAAATAGTAAAAGGATAGCGTTGAAAGCGCATAGCATCTAAAGTGATATGTTAAATACACAAAAATGTAAATATATTATATTGAAAAGCATGCTGTTAATATCTACCTACAAATAGTTTATGCCACGAAAGGTCACCCAGATGGTTGAGTAGTTTTTTAAGAGATGTTTTCATTAATGATATGAAATGAAAGTTATAAATTTTAAAATGTTCATTTTAGAAATGAGAAAATTTGAACTTTATCAAAAGACTTGGAAATCCGATGAACAATATCCTATTTTGCACAAATTGATAATACATTTTTTTACGATTTTATAGATAACATTCAGCTGCTATGTAGCGTGATAATTATTTTATAAAATACAAAACTAATGGGTTCGTCAATTCCTTAGTCGATCATGAATTTCACAATTTTTAACAATAATTCATGTCAGTCTTCAATTTTTTTTTTTATATAACAAGCCTCGTGATTATTTAAACGATAACATGAAATCGGATTTTTCAATTTTACACGTAAAATCTATAGTATTCTTGAAAGTTGAGACTATGGTTGATTAAACTTAATTAAACATTTTCAAATAACCCGCTACAAAAATCACAAGATGATTCTAAACTAATCAAATCTCGAAAAAAGAGGCTTCGTCACGTGAACCATTAATTTAACGACACAAGCGTCGACATTTATCAATTTGTAACCATTGCATCAAGTACTAAAAAATACAAATGTATAAAGTAAGCAGCACCAAAATATTAGTAAAACATAGATACTTTACAATGGCATTATATACAAGCAAAACAAAACAAATCGATCACGTTGATGCCAACAAAAAGTTCTGTTGACTTAATTAAAAGGAAAAAAAAGTATCGACTCATCGAGCTTCCAAAGTCCAATAAAGTCGGTTGTTACTTGATTAATTACAAAGAATAAGCACTCGAATCGACATAACAGTTATTCGTCATCCACGACACAGATGACGGAGGAAAAGAAAAAAAAAAAAAAAAAAAAAAAAAAAAAAAAAAGAGAACCGACTGACCGACCGGAAGAGCGCTCAAGCCGGTGCCGGCGCTTACCTTTCTTGATGAGTAAGCTAGTGACCCTGCGTAGCGCCTCGCGCGTACTGGAGGTGGAGCTGTGCTTACTTTGGCCGAAGTACTTGTTGGGCGTGATGTTGGTCGGCAAAGTGAGCGGTTTCCGTTGCTCGGCCGCCCCGGCCAATCTGGCATCGTAGGTGCTGTTCAGGCGCTCGAGGTGCTCGATCGACGCCGGCCGCGGCTGGTTGGACTTGCGCGTCGGATACCAGCCGCGATTTGGACCTCCAGCGAGTCGCAGCAGCTCCGTACCGATTATCGCCTGCTCCAGTCCTGGGTTGTTTCTTCGGTATCTGGAAAGTCGAACGGCAAGATTAAAATGAAAAAAATACTGTGTTGGCCCAACCAAAATCAATATCTGTGTATCAATTATTGATACAATACTTCTTTTTCGTACTCAACGATTAACAGCTTTCGAATTTACGTGACTAGACGATGAACTAATGCAAGTTAATATCATTGATATTATTATTTTATCACACACCACAATAACCGCCAAAAAAAAAAACATGCCCACCCTTGAGGCAATTTCCAGCAATGGAAACAAGAAAAACAAAAGAGCCTCACCCAGTCGTGGCAGTGGTCGGGGCATACCAGCCAGGCTGTCTGCGCGGCTGCGTCGATGGTACGCCGGTATTGGCGTGCTGGGGCGTCCTTGGTATGTCACTGCCGCGGGCAAAGACCGGAGTCTCCGGGAGTGAGCTGCTCGTCTGCATCCCCGAGCCGGTGGCTGCGTTGCCGTTACCATTGCTGCTGGGACAGCTGCTGTTGTTCCCGTTGTTGCTACTCGGCATCGTACCTCCGTTGTTGCTGCTACCGCCGGACGAGTAAGCCTCGGTCGAGGGCGAGTGGCGCTTCGTGAAGGGACGCCGCCTCGACGGGCCAGGGAGATCGGTAGGCAGTGTCCTTCGTTCCACTGGCACCTAGAATTTCCTCGATCATTCGTCAACTCGCTGTGACTTTACGCATCCTCAGCAGTTTTGTGTATCTTTTATACTAGGATTTTTGATAAATTCTCCACTGTGGGACAAATTATCTAAAAATCCAGCGATCGGAGAGCCACATATTCGTACGTGGAATCTAGCGTACTTGGAGGAACGGATGGACTTGAGTTTGGGTTCAGAGAAAAATAGGGTACAAAGGAGTCTCCCCTAAATCGTAAAAAAGCCGTTTTTGGGATCGATACAATCATTTTGAGATTAAAATTACTCAATGATACTTACACGTTTGCGACATCACCAGCCCCGTTTGATCAAATTGAGGGAGTCCCTTAACGAAATGGGAAAGGAAAGGCAGATAACACACAAAATCAAAAAGACAAGCGAGAAACCCAACATCCATTCCACGCGATCTATCACTTTAATCCTTTACACCTGCACTTTTACCTCCTCGCGGTTTTCCATTCTCTCCTCCTGCACTTTTTCTCGTCGCTTATAAATACCACCGCGCGCACACACCTGCTTGCCGTACATGCATACACACACACATACATATTTGTGTACGTAAGCGTATTCGTGTATATATATATACGCGATATTTGGCCAGTCCCGGGTGGTTTTTGTGGCTTTCAGAGAAATTGCGCGCAGCACAGAGTCTGACGGAATATATAGGAGAAAAAAAAGTAGTGCGAGCGTAGTTGTGAAAAAAAAGAGCGTCGTAATCGAGCGATAGAACCCCTTTGTCATATACAAGAAACTATGACCGGATGATTGGTTGTTTGTTAACGTCATCAAGCTGTTGTATACTTACAGGTATGTACTCTTCTGCTTGATGCAGTAGGATTCTTTAGAATTATGTTTGAGCTAATAAAAATTTCGTCACGTACCAAAATTGACCGATCGTTCCTTTTTTTTTTATTTTTTTTTTCAACGTTCGACATTTAATCCCTCTATTTCAGGTTATTCGTATTCATTTTCTCATTCGCTAAGCATCCGATTCAATAACCGGGCCGGGAGGGCTGCGGGAGCTCGTTGAACTTTTCGCCAGACCTTTTTTTTCCGTAGGCACAGCTGCACACGCACTAACTCATTCTCTCCCCTCCCCGAGACTCGGAGGCTTTTTCGATTTCCTCATTTGCGTTTATATATAAAATGCACGGATGCATAAGCCGAGGGATTTATTGATTTATTCGTCGTTAGAGGGCTCGACGTCTCTGTGTGCACGACAATTTTTATTTTTTTTTCATCCCAGCAGCCACTGGCTTTTTGACGCTGAAGTTTTTTCATTGATAGTGTGTGATGCGTTGATGTGTTCCATTCCAGCAATTTACGTGAGGATTTTTATTATTTTTCGCATTTTAATGTAGAAAAGTTTTTAATAGGGTTTTCATTTGTCGTGCTTAAGGTTTAAACGGATGTTTGATTTTTGGATTGGCATTCAAAAAAAAGTTTAAGCAAACCATCTCGACAGCGAGTTTTACAAAGAATTTCCTCTGTCCTACCACTTTCCGAATTTATAAATTAATGAAACAAAGCGATGCAAGGAATAAGGAATATTAATGGACGGGAGTAAAAGAAGCAGAAAAAGACGCTCCAGACGACGACGGCGGTATACATATATATGAGCGAAAAGAAATGAGAGGAGTATAACAAGTGGAGGGATGCTATGAGGAGAAAAAAAAGCACCGGCGTTAGGTCGGAAAAAGCTGGGGCGAGCGCCTATGCACATTATTTTCCTGTGTTTTTCATCCGCGTCGGTCTTCCCTTTCTTTTGCCTCCTTTTTTCGCGGCGCGGCTTTTCTCCGTCCATTTGTTCTCTTGTGATTTTCAATACACGTTCACGTTGCTGTTTTTTTTCGTAAATGTTGTAGGTTTTTTTTTTTTTTTTTGATACTAGCGAGTTGAGATTCAGGTGCTTCTTTTTTTGAACAAAATTCACAAAAATTCGGAATGGAATTCAGAAAAGATGCATGAACTTTCAGATTTTTGAGAAATTGGTGCTCGAGATCTCGAAGTATTTGATCACGGAGTCGAAAAAGAAGAAACAGAAGTAATTATTGAATGTTCTCATGCACGAAAAGAAAAACCGCAGTGATTTTTACCGTAAATAACGATGATGCTGACGTACCGTGGGAATAGGAGAATTTTCACTGTAAAACTGCGATAAAATCACCCTGCAAAAAGGGGAAGGAGATTCTATTAATACCATAGTTTTGTGGTAAAAATCTCTGTCCTATTGACGATCTTTTGAAAGAAAACTTTACTTTTCTCTGAAATTTCAATGCACTCCTGCATACTTACCACAAAGTTTGTTCAACTACATCGAATTATCTTCGAAAATCCGTCATTAAATGCTTTTTTAAAAAATAATAAAAAGCTAAGCGAGTGCAAAAAGTGTGCCAACATTTCAATTTCGAATCTTTGTTTCCCTTCTCTTTTCCCAATCGTTTCAATAGGTAAATACCCATAAAAATTTCAACGAGTTTTTGTTTAAAGCCATCTGCATCCGTTTCACAAGTTCTCTTCGTGAAAGTTCGTTAAAACGTTACAGCTTGAAAAGCAAAGGGAACAGAGCTTTGGCTAGAAGTTCCATCGGCGCGCACTTCGCCTTCACGTAAAGTTTACCGACTCCTCCCTTTTTTTTACTCAGATACGATGGTGCTCTTTCGTTTTTTTTTTTTCGTTCGACTCAATCGTTAATTCGATTCTTCTCGGCTTGCATTCGATACCTCGCAACTGTTTATCTCCTTTTAGTTTGGTGCAAATGCACACTGAGTTCCCCTTAAAAGCTCTTGTTGGTATAACTTTCTCTTACGATAATTGTAATCAGCGTTATAAATGCTTTTTACAAACAAGGAAAAGTTATAGAAATTTACTTTAAATAGCAGTTGATACTGTTATTTTTCACTGTAATGTTTGGTAAACTTTATCGTAACTTTACAGGAATTTATTTTTTCATTCCAGAACGAATTATGCTTTTTATTTGATTTGTTCCTTAATAGAAAAAATTTAATCTGTAATTTCTCATAGAAGGAAAAATAATANAAAAAAAAAAAAAAAAAAAAAAAAAAAAAAAAAAAAAAAAAATAGTAAGAAGGGACACTCATTTTTGTTTTTCCCTCCCCGATGGGAATTCTTCAGGCAAGCTGAAAAATCGCGATTTTCCGATCAATAAGACATGGCTCGCCGAAGCGAAGTTCCGAGTCCTGCGCGTACATCAGGAGCGACAGATTGCACCGAATCTCCACACACACACACACATCTTTCCCGACAAAGTTTCCAAGGAGAAAGCAATAAAAGGGGACAGTGGCAGCAGTGCCACTTGGTGTGCACACACACGAGTATCTAAACCCTTTAGTTCTGTCAGCGTCCTCTTCGCTCGCTCGGGACGACTGTTGGGAGGGGGGGAAGGGGCTCAAACGACGGCTTGGCGTGAAATTCGCGTTCGCCTCGACTGCGCGCTTTGCTCGGAGGACCCGGCGATCCTAAGAGAGGGGGACCTCTGTCTAAGCTCCCTTCTACCGAGAGAGGGACAGGCGTATGCTGTCGGCGATTTCTTCGAGCCGCAGTTGCAGGCTAGCTCTTGGGACTCGAGTTGTCTCTATTATCTTTCCCCCAAACATAATATATAGTTGTTAGATTTTTTTTTTTTTGCTCGGTCGCGCGCTCCTCTCTTTATCGGGGCCCAAACGCGCTTCGAGAGGAAAACACGCTCCCTCCACTTTTTCTTCCATATCTTTGCAGTCGGGAGATTCTCAAATCAACCGTAAAGACGCTTTTTTTCATACTTTCGAAACATCGCGATGGTGGTAGGATCGTTTTGGTTTCTCGCTCCAAGTAAAAAAAAAAAAAAAAAAGCTCGTCGCATTGTTATTGAGTTAAAAAAAAAGGACACGTGAAAAAGATGTGTTTGATAAGATGGTACGTATACTCACATGGGGAGGAGAGTTGAGATTATGCGTTCGGCCTCTTCCGGTGGCGGAGGGAATTCCTGGGCCGGAGCTCCCATGGAGTCCTGGGGTTCAGGGCAGTCCGGTACCGGGCGCAATGCCACCAACGCCATTTTCGCTTTCCTGCCATTCATACTCATGTATCCGTCGTCCTCGGATTGATGTCCTGATTGTCAAGAAAAATTCATTATTAGTTTTTTTTTTTTTTTTTTTTTTTTTGTTTTTTCCCCTCTACGTTCTTAACAACTCGTCACAAATTTTATAGCGAGCCGTATAGATTTACATATTTTTAACGCTTTCACTGTGGCTACCTGCACCGGCATATAGTATTTTTAACAGACATTCATTTTTACATTCTACGATACGTTTTGGGTATCTTTACTGCTCCTATAAGAGTCGCTTACGTGCATTGAATAACCACTCAGTTGGTTAACTGGTAGGGGTATAATATATATACCTATCGACTATAAAGATTTAAAACTCATTATTTCTTTTTACGTTGAGAATACATCGAAAAGGACATTTTATTTTTCACTCAACGTTTGACTCCGAGTAAGTTTTGATTTAGCTTTCACTTGGATGCATGTAAATACACATGTAATTTAACGTAGTTGCGGCACAATCGTTGTAAGTTTTCATTCCAAAGTAAGTTTAGTTAAACTCCGCGACCTGCACCTCAATATTTCTCACGGCTACATCAATATACACTCGGTACGATATGTAAACGTACAGTTTTTAATCATCTCCAACTGCGCGTCGGATAACTGCAGCTGAGGGAGACATAGGCGTTTAAATATTAGTTAAGGCTCCACAGGCCACTCATCCAACGTAGGTATAACTTGAGCTACGTCTACTCTCTGTTATAGCGTTGGGAGGCTGTAGGATACCAATATATGTTGCAAGGGTCAGTCTCCGCGTGGTGTCCAATCCTAAATGGCCACTCTCCCTCACATTGGGGGCAAAACTGTTATGCTCCGTTAACAACTAAGCATTCATGGTGAACTCAAGTGCGTCGAAGGACATGTTTAACCTATGTATGGTTGTGCACCAAGCACTGAACCAGTTCCGTTCAACTGGGATGTTTTTCAGTGGGAGACACCAACGTGGAACGACTGTAGCGTGGGAAAAAAAAAAAAAAGAAAACTTGGCCGTCACAGACTAAATGCGCTGGCAGGCGGGTGAAATCTTCCCATGCAGCCTTCTTGTGTCAATCGTCGGAAGAAAAGTAAAATCCTCCAGCTCGGTATAGAACAGGCGAAATAGTTCAAGAAGCATCGATTTGGTTATTCTTGAAACTTTTGCATTTGTACGAAAAAAACCTGAAATTTCAACTACGCACGCTTCAAACGTGTTGTTCTCCACCACACTTGGATTGTACAGTCCTGTTTCAAGGGGGGCTAACATACGAGACCGAAAGACATTGACCTTCAGTATTCCCGGCTCTCAAGTATGCACAAACGCAACGAGCCGAGAACCCGTTGGTAAAGTCCTCTCGAAAAGTCCCGTCTCTCTCTCTCTCTCCGCGCGAGGAGACGAAAGAGACGAGCGCCCCGTGAGAGCTCCGCTCCGTCATCTTTTATTCATCCGCGCTTCGCATGCAGCGTCAGCCATCCTCTCGCGTTCAAAGCTCTCTCGTGGTGTCGATCCGGAAAAAAACGGTCGATTCATCGCAGCGCCCTCCACCTTGCAAGGCTCGAAATTCATGCACGCAGTCACCCACCCCCGCGCTATACATAGCGTCCATCTCGAGGTGCAGTGCACCACCCCTCGATCCTACGTGGCGAGCAAGCTAAGGAACGCCCCGCGAGCACGTGTCTTCATCTTTTGGGTCTCTTTCCGCATTGTGCATATACATATATATCAACCGGCCGGCTCGTGCGCGCGAGTGGCCGCTGTTTATAGGCGAATCGAATTTGGGTTTTTCGGGCCAGAAGGGGGTGGGACCCGATTGCCTTGCATCGGAGCTTTAATTCGATCGCTCCTCTCGTCGGCTGTATCTTTTAATGAGTTTTCAAGCACACGCTCCGAATACTTTTATTGGGTGCATGGATCCCTGGGATATCGGAGAAGCGCCGATAAATGGAAATACTCGGCAGATCGGGCTTTTTAGCCGGGGCTTGTCTGAGAATTCTCGGAATGGTGACATCGGGTGTATAATATATGTTGTCTTTTTTTATTTTTGCGTATTAGTTTCATTATCTTCGAAAAACGTCCACGGTATATTGATACACTAGAGGAGCTGCGTCCCTTTCTGCGACTAACTATCCGCGTCTTGAACGAGATGGTGATTTTTATTACGTATTATTGTTAAATAACTGATTTATGGTTTCCTCGCAGTGGCACAGAGGTGTACCTATGGGTTCTCTTTTCGGTTTTTTTTTTCCATGGAACTTATTCACAAATCTCTGAAACTGTGTTTCATTTTAGGTGTTTATGTCTTCCTAACTAGGTTCTTTATTTTTGTTTTTGTGTACATGTTTCTGACTCTACCTTTACATTTTGTCGAAACATTTGTTGATCCTTTTTAGTTTCAATGCTTCTTAACCTTTGTTTCTCCAGGTTTATTTTACTTGATCTTTCTATCTTATCTATTTCTCTTTCATATAAAAATTGTTTTGAAATGTATGCTTTTACATCTTTTCTTCCTATCCATCCACATCTTGATGTTTGAATCGTCTCGATATTTGTGATTTTGTCTTTTTTTCTTTTGTTCTGTTTCTATTACTGCTTTTCTTAATTAAAAGACCTTTGATTAGCATCAATTTTTGTTTATTTCCTTTACAATTTCCAATGCCATTTGTCTCTGTTTTTGTATCATTATATCTTTTATTTGTGGTCAAGCAATTGCCTTTCATTTTGACATTTTGACATTACCGTGCCCCTATTGCTTTAAACACTATATCTTTGTATTCGCCCCTGAGTATTCGTTACGAAGTTTGATTTGTCTCTATTCGCGTTTGCTGCACTATCTCTGACTTGGCATATGTTTTTCACAAAGTATTCGCACCATGTGTGGGTTCTAGCATATTGTATCTGTTAAATTGAGTTACTCTTTTTTCTTATTCATTCTTTGTTTCCCTATGTAATGTACGTTTACATGTCTTTAGTTTTGTATTTCTGTACTGTATTTTTTTTACTATTTTTGGTCTGTGCTTTTAGTCTCTTTTTTAAGTTTTGCCTTTTGCCTTTTTTTCTTTTGCTCTTCTCTCGCTCCAGAAGTGCATTCGTTGTATCTGCCTTGTATCTCTGTTCATAAAATATTTCATTTTTCTGAGTTAACGACAATTCATCATTGCAATTCGATGTATCTGTTTTTATATTATTGATTCTATGATTATACATTTATATTTTTTTTTCGTATCTGTAGCTAAATAAGTTATTGTGTCTGTCTCAAACTTTTTGTTCCTATGTCTTAGTTTTGCTGTCTTTATTCACGGATATCTTTCTTTCAATGTACCAATTTTTGTTTTTGTTTTTTTACCTCTAAGTACCAATATTTAAGTTGTTTTTAGGATCCTGAATTTGTACGTAAGCCTATTCTTTAAATTTTTTCATCCTCATTGTCTCAGCTTTTGTGCTAAATCTTTGTCTTTTTCGAGTCTTCATGTTTGTACTAGTGTTTTTGTGTCTTGACGTACATGCTTTTTTCCTCAGATTTTGTACCTTTTCTGTCTCTATAAATCTGCTTGTATGCTATCTTACGTTTTTGTCTCGGTAGTAAAAAAAGTAGGAAAAAAGTACAAGTTTTCGGAGGGGAGGGCAGCAGTGGGGCTCAAAAAATTTTCTAGTGGGATAAAATGACAAATGTATAGGGTAAAGTGTGCCCTAGTCTTAAAAATGTGTGCAAAGACAAGCATCATATAGAATTGTCATTGATAAAACTCGGTAGTAAGATCTAATATAAATGGGCACAAAAACTGGATGAGTTCAATAATTCCTGTTATTGCGTTATTAAATTGAGATGAGATATTTTTTAATTAAAATGTTGAGATGGGACTTTTGGATGGAAGACGTTTTTTTGATTACTCGACGTGAATGCGCTACTCAAAAAGCACGTACCATACGGCACTTTGCACTCGCCAAAAGTGAAAAAAAAAATTTCTTTTTCCTCCCCTTTTTATATTTCGCGTTCCCATTTCTCAAAGAACACACACCTTCAAGCTGTCGAAAAACAGACTTCCCCTCGAACCCTTTGATCATTAAAAAACCCCTCCCATCCCCTTTTTCCGACTCTTCTTCAGCCCGAAGAGAAAAAGCTCGAACGGTAAGAAGGACCAATGGAGCCCGGAAAAGCCGTGCACTCGCGAGCGAACAATACGTGACATCAGCGGCTCACCTAAGGACGGGCTCTCGTCATCCGGCGTGAGGCCAATGCTCGGCTCGGTGCTGCTGCTGCAATCGGTCGCGAGTCCGTTGCCACCGACCCCGCCTCCGCCGCCACCTCCGCCACCTTCACCCTCGACCTCGTGCTCGTCGTATTCGGAGAGCACTTTGTCCAACAGCTCGATCGATCGCTGCACATCGTCACCTCTGGAACATAATCGACAATCGGTACTCTAACGTTATTGGCTTAACCGAGTGGTTTCTCTTTACAATTATTTTTATTTATTCTTATGTGTATATAATGTGCAAATATATTATAGAAATGACAACATTATTTTTAACGAATGTATATATGTATATGGACGCAGTATCCAAAGATATAAATTGGAGTTTGGTGTGTTATTGCCTGTTGATACGTGTATTGTGTATTAGATGACTGTAAGTTTAATTTTTCTTAAGGTGAAAAATTGTTAACTCAAAAGTGAGTACAGTGACTATTTCATTGAGCAGTAAAAATCAGTAAATGTTATTATTTGTAACGAAAATGGCCTCCACCGACAAAATTATTGAAACTTTCACTTATTTGTACAAGTCGAGTAAGAGGTCTTGGATTTCGGTCTTAAGAACAAGTATCTTGAAATGAATCCTACAAATATTTTGTTTTTTACTCGTTACACATGATAAATTGCATTTCCAAATAAATGTTCCATATTTATCATGTAAAAAAAACCAGTTCATGCGAGGGGCTGCGCACTCTTGAAGTCATTAAAAACGACTTTATGAGTTATTCCAAGTCTTTGAAAGACTTGAGAAGTCTCTAAAAGACTTCAGAGTGCGCAGCCCCTCGAGTTCATGATTGAGTTTGTATAAGAAACCTTGCAACTATACTGATGAAAAAAAAGTAAAAAAAAAAAGAAAAAAAAAAGATACATACTATCTCTCCTCTCGTTCATCTATTATTTCATCCGCAGAGGAGAGATCAAAAGAAAATTTTTCATCAAGCTCCCTCCTCTTATCAGCAACTGCCTAACCATTGAAGAAAGAGCTAACGTCACCGCCACCCCCGTATACGGTACAAGTAAACATGTGGGGCTGAAGAAAAGGAGGGAAACTTCGGGGACCGTAGCCGCACTGACCCTCTCTACTCGTTAAACCGAACCCGAGAAAATTTCGTGCCCGCCTGAAAATTGCTCCATCCCCCCCCTCGCCACTTGCCGTATGCTCTACTGACTTGGAAATTCTTCCTCTTATCTCTCCTTCTTTTTTTTCGGATCCCACGTTACGTACGGACCATTACATCTTCGATCCGATTAATTTGTTTTTCCTTGTTTTTTTTTTTTTTTTTTTTTTTTTTTTTTTTTTTTTTTTTTTTTTTTTTTTTTTTTTTTTTTTTTTTTTTTTTTCCGGATTGGTAAAACATTTTCAGGCTGATCGGAAGACGAATGAACCTTGAGGGGAATACACTTGTTTTTTCTTCGATAAGCACGGGTGAATTGCTCTCCCCGGCATCTTGAAGCGATCCTTTGAACAAGGTGAGTAAATAAAACCTCGCGAATCCATTATTTCAACCCACTCAAGCGTTTTTTGCACATACGTGTTTGTGTAACTCAAGTTGGTTTTATTGAGTAATTCATACAGCTGACACACTTAAAACGAGTTGAAACAACCCATTTTTATCGTGTAACAAAAAATGAAGCACACCTGTAAATGTACGTGTAAAACCACTTACACTGTATAATCCAAGTGTGTTAAAGGATACGTTTTGAGCGTTTAATCGAAATTTCTGTTGTTATAAAATTATGCATTACAATAGTCTTGATAAACGTTTTAAGGAAAACCAAATCGAGTCTTCATGAACAATTTTATTAAACTAAACAATTTTTATCTTCATTGATTGAGATAAAAAGGCTGTAAAGAGTAAAACATTTCGGTCACGTACTTTACGATAAATCTGTGACAGCCTAGTTTTTTCTCTCTTCAGCTTTGTAATGTTGGTTTTTTCCCATTCATAAGTGTCCAGTTTAGTGAAATTTGTTAACCACTTGTACGAGGGTTGGAAATAACATACTTGGATTTGTAACTATTCAGACTTAATGTGATATTAAACTTTGATTTACTTATTACGTAACACCAAAAAACCGCTCCATTTTCTCACGCTCAGCGCTTACTATAATATATAACATGTTGTAACGACACGCCCTAAGACAGCGTCGAACAGATCAGCCGGAGGGCGAGAATTTTCTCTCGTCAAAGCCAAACAATAGATAGCAGAGCCTAACATATGCTCACAATACCCCACTCGTGTATGTACACCATCGTCAACACGCGATAAAAAAATAATTACGCGGAACATCGTTTTTACGGACGCGATTGCGCACATCTGCGAGATTGTGATCCCCAGCAGCGCGAGCGCAACAAAGGAGAAGTGCCGCAGCGAAAAAAAAAAAAAAAAAAAAAAATGATGTAAATAGGAAGTTGTTGGCGCAAGTGTAATGTATGCGCTTGCAGCTGCGGGATCAGTTTCGTTCTGATGGGCCGTGACGGAGCCGCGACCTCGTTGGCTTTTATTCTCGTTTCGCGCAATACACGGATGCACATTTTTAATTTAGCTCCCCCCCCCTCCACCTACAGTAGCACAGAGCTTTTGATCAATGAGGCCGCTAGGAGGAGGGTATCAATCTTCGCGAACTAAATGGCCCCTCGGCGTGAGTATACATATACATGGCACGCCGAAGAAATTAATGTCCAAGGATCTCGTGCGCGCATAATCGCAGAGAAAGTAAACAACACCCATTCGGAGTGCACGTCCAATCCCCCGAATCGCGCATGTAAACATACATACATACATATGTATATATATATATATATATATATATTCAATTAGTTCTCACGGCTTTCCCACGCCAGCTCGTCGTTTTTCCGCGCTTGAAAGATGCGTTGTTGCCCCCGGACAAGTATAAAGCGCACCCACGCGTGAAAAGAGCCTTAGAACAAAAAAAAAAAAATCATATTTTGCGTGCCGCTGCATCTACGCTTCCCCGTAAATTAGAATTTTCGCGAGGGCTCTTTAAGAGGTTTTCACGCAAACGACCATAACGGCGACGTGGCGCTTAAGGCAAATATGTGCGCGGTACAAACAAAAAAGAGCTGGTGGTGCCGACCGCCCATTTAGCGGAGGATCACAAAGGCATCCCAAGGTCGTTAAAACTCGGACAGGGTCGATGATGCGGTGACGTTGCACTTTCTTTTTTTCCTCGCTGGTATACACACGAAGCGGTCCACTTGGACATAATATATAGTTGTCGGTAGGTGATGGTAAAATGCAGTCGTTTAACTTTGCTCGAGGGGCTGAGCTTTCGACCAAAGCCCTTTTTTCTTTCCTTCGCCAGGTGCAGTATACATACATATACCTTATTTTCCCATCTGTTTACTTGGCCAATATATCCAAAACAGCTGTAACGTTATTTATTTTCGGCAAAAGCCACGTGTCACATGGTTAACGCTCCGCAAGGAGTTTACATACAGTCTTCACCTCGGTCTTCACCATCGGCGCGCAGCTCCTAATTTGTTCATCTGTGCTCATCCCGACGCGCAAAGCACACTCGCTCCCCATCTAAAGTCACTAAGCCCGCACATATACATACGTATATACGTGCAACTCACTATTTAGGACAGTAGCTAATTAACGTCAAGTGCGCCTCGTGTGGACCATCGACCGCACACCCCCGCGCGTACACACACAGGCGAAAGTTTACCTGCTCGTGTACGGACACGGGGAGCTTTAGTCACCACAGCCGAGAGCTTAGAGCTTGGGAAGACCATACAGGGAAGCTAGGGGTGAGAGGAGAGGCCGAGACCGGCGCCAGTAAACTTCATTAAACTCCCGATGTTGTTAAAACATACACACGTACACACACACACGCTCCATCGCCCACTTAATTTATACGGAATGGTTATCGCGATTATTTTTAGTTGTACAGTCGGAAACTCGTGGCCAGTCTGGCCATCCATCGTATAGTGTTTTGTGTGAGGGATACAATTTGAGAGAATACGCCGACCGTTGATCGCTTTTGTATCAAAAAGTACGGAAGTAATGCGGATAAAGGCTTTTTCGACCTGCATCCCCGGGTATTGCAGGTATATATATATTTTTTTTTCTCTGCTTCAGAACAACAGCTCAGATACCCCTTGAATTGTATGTACGAAGAGCTTATGAAGTTATATCAAACTAAGGGCTACACGTATAGTAATGATTCATACCGTGGAATATCAATTCAGAGAAACAAAGACACCACCACAGGTCTGAATATTTTTTTCAGTGTAAGGTCATCCCAACGCATCAAAGATTTCATGCACGAGAACGTACACGATGATCCAAACGGAAATATCAATCCAGAGCAACAAAGACACCAGATTATCCGAGCTTTTCTTGTTAAAGCAGGGCCAAACCGCAAGTTGAAACATTGATGGAGTACAAGTATAAGAGTTACAATTTCAAGGAATGGAGACACAAAAACCTTGATTCGGAAATGGGAAATGTCCATTCAGAGAAACAAAGACACCCTCCCCAACTTGGAAGCACTTTTACAGACCAATTTTCAAAAGACGATCAAAGACGATCGAGAGACCATAAAAATAAAACGGAGCCAAGGCAGAGAGGGTGAGAGACTTGTCAGTTCGTGCGTGCCATCGTATGGTCGCAAACCGCATAAATGAACGTTAACAGCTGATGCAGCACGCCGCACACACAGTAGCGCGTGCAAATCCCACACATACATATATATACGTATGCACAGTCAGATTTTCGTTTTGGTTTCGCGTCGAGCAGCTACACATCACGCAGGGCTGTACGTGTACTCACAAAGACGACGGGGCACCGGGTAGAGGGAGGGAGGCGATAACCCAGGCATTTAATTAGGCTATAGGCATCGAGGAGGACGAGCTCGGGCGGAGAAGTGCGCTTGGCTTGATGAGCAAAGTTGAAAGGGAGATGGATGTGGAAGGGTGCATTGGTGAAAGGCAGGCCGGTTGGCGCGATAAGAGGAGCGGGTGCTTACATATATATATATGTATACACTGGACCCGGGGAGGAAGGGTGCCACACACCGATGATTATAAAGATGGGCCGGATCGTGGGTGGGTGGAAAATTGAAAGTCGAGGATGCCGGGGAGGATAAATATGGAGATTCGACCGAGCGAGTTGGACG